ATGCTCTTTGATACTAGGTGAGCAGGTACCACCCAGTATTTCAACTCAGAAAAACGCAAAGAAACAGCATTCCAACGAGCAACATTCTTTTGCCCATGTCAATCATTGACGACGTATCGACGTATTTTCTCCAGAACTTTTCTCAAACGACGAGAAAACAACCGCACCTGTCCGAAACGGATTGCATTCCTCTAAAACTGCAATTCGAAATAAGAATAAAAATGGCAGATCGGTTGCATTCCCTTCATAAAATAGCATCCAATTCATAGTGTAATGATTTCTAATCAGAGCAGTTAGATCAAGACAAACACTAGAAGATTCGCAGAAAATGCAGATGAACTGGATGGGTTAGGTGAGTCAAACCCCATTATTAAGCAAATTCGCTAAATTGACGACGATGTGAACAGGAATTGAAGCAATAAAAAACAGCAACAATCGAATTGACTCATAAAATCATTATAACAAAGTGATCGCATTGATTAATAATCATCGATGACGATTTATAGAAAGATTGGNATAATTCAATGTTGATAAAACCACATACAATCGCAAGTAATAAACAACTTAAGCTAACCAGTTTAAACCTAACCATATGGTGAAAGGTACAAAAAAGAATTGATTGAAAAATTGCAACAACTGACAGAATCCGGCTGAATCGCAGGCGTAATCGGTCATCTGTCGGAAAAATTCCGACAAATGAGTCGACTTTATAGAGGATGACTACATTGTAGCCTCAGGCGTTGCGGCTCTAACCCTTTGAGCATATTTTACTTATCAACCGCCGGAAATCATCGTTATTATCATCAGCGCATCACCGGCAAACATCTGCCGTATCATCAGTGCTATCTATCGCTGTTAAATTAACTCAAACTCACATCTTTCGTGACAGCTGTTGTTGTTGGAGAGGCAAGCAAAAAGGTGAGCTGTCAGCTGGCCACAGCACGAAGGCCGCAACCAACTCTGATTAATAGTCTGTTTGTTAGCTTGAGAATGAAGAGTTATGGGGTACAAACTTTTCGAATGTTCCAGTAATTTGATTTTAATTACTCAGAGATGAGCATTGCCGTTAGCGATTAGCGGAAATCGCGTTCAGTCAGCGAAATTTTTCACCGATAGCTGATGTTACTGTCGTTGGTTAGCTGGTCTGCGATGGAATGCATGAGTCTTTCACCATTAATGCATCTAAGTACAAATTATTACGCAATGACTGACACCACATTTCGTATCTTGTTTATCCAGTTTTCTGCATATCCCTGGCGCGTATAGGCCTAAGCAAAGGTCTTTGAAGTATGTCACAAGTATTTCGTAAGTCCTTCAATATTCTGATTAGCATATTAAAGGACTTATGAAATGTAACCTAGTCTGTCATGAGCAGTGGGATTAATTGAGAGAAACGGATATTTGGCGGAGTTGTCTTGTTTTGACGAAATACCATTGTGAAGGTGATGGTAATTCATCATATAGAATTCATGCGATCTTTATATCTGAAAACATCGGACTGTTCGGATTTATATCAATCACTGACCACTCTATACATTCCATAATGATCCGTTCGATCAAAGGCTTGGTTTTCCGTTCATCTCTACGATTATTTCCTAAATCTTTACTGCATCTTCTGTATCCGTTAGTAAATGAACACGTTGATGAATGAAGATGATTCCTAGCTGAGACCCTAAGCTGATGGTGATGGTAAGACGTAGAAGAAAGGTGCGAACAAGTGAACTCGCTTTCATCTGTTCCTAATCATCCACAATCACTCCAAAAACATTTGCATAACTCCAAAACAGAGGATATCAGAAATCTCTTCCGTTAGTATTCATGAAATCAAATCCGATGCTTAATAAACGGATGACAAGTTTCAAATGAAAGTATAGTAGCAAAATAAAGGCCTAACATACGGTAAGCGAAAGATACCGTTGCCTTCCCTGTTAAAAGGTCGAGTATCGACGTATTCAATCGAAACAAATAACAGCAACATTTATGTTTATAGCCTTCAGGCTATCAGTTGATAATTATTACATGATGGTTGATAGATAAATGAGAGTAGATGAGTGGATAGGTCGGGTCGGTACAGATTACAATAGCACAGTGCTATCTACGAGCGAATGAAATGAACTAAACCTAAACTGGATCCGTTCATGCAAAAATGTTCGTCATATACTTTCTCAATGACGGACGGCATCATCGTTCCGTTTCAGATTGTTTTGCAAAACAATCAACGTACGAGGCATTAGTTCTTATCAGCTACGCTCTATTCACTATCTTATCAACAAAAAATACGCTCACGACTGATTACAATCAGTATGGCAACCATCATTTTGGTTTGCGATCAACGTGTGAATCTGATCCTATGCATTCTGCATTCATAGGAATTTCGATATCCCAGCAGACTTTTTCATCCATTTTGGCTAATATTTTTTACATTTTCTTAGTACAGTGGATTCTTTTACGAGCAACAATGGTTGTTAGCGATTGCTTTGAACTGCTGTCGCTCTGGTTTAAAGGTTTTGACGAACATAGGATCCTGCTTGGATTTTTCGATGGAAGAGATCATTAAGATGATATGAAAGGATATTGTGATGTGTAAATTATTAAGCATTATGTTATCCGCTGATTGGTTCACATAAGATATCAGTAGATATATTTCTGATCGAAATGGGTTGTTTTCATGTTGATTCTGGTTATGATTTTAGCGCTGTTGCAGGCAGGTACCGGTTGAGCAAGAAACGGAGGAATATGCAACTGGGGTCGTTAGCGATTGTTGTGGGCACCGTACTGCTCGAGATGGTATGCGGTGTTCCGTATGCAACGACACGTTACGGTAAGCTGCAAGGCTTCAACTATGAAATGAAGACTGGCACTGAGGCTAAAGTGTTCCTGGGAATACCGTATGCTCTACCGCCCACCGGTGATCTACGTTATGAGGTATGCACATCCAGTTTCTGGAAGTTATGGTTTCTTGGATTTATATTGCATTTTTTACAACAGTGGTTCTCACGTTCGAGTGCTCCATTACGTCTTTTGATGATCTGGCGGGCCATCGTTACCCTCTCCCCCCTATTAGAATAACTTACTATCTCTAAAAGTGGTCCGGAATTTTCTCACCGATTTTAAGTACAATTTCGGGTATTCTATTTGCTCTCAGTTTAATTTGCACACGGCGGCAATGAGAGTTCTTGGAATCATATTCCAAGAATCGGTTCTAGGTAATCTCAATTACCCTGATCTTCTGGATTGCTTTCCTTAACATCACCATTGCATATGGGAATCACATAGGTTACGTTTAGATCTTGTTAGCACGTTTATGATGATATTCAACATCGCTGGACTTCCTCTTAGATCGTTGTGTTGCTCATTATTGCAGTCGATTATGATTGCATGAAAAGCTATTGTCTATCACACGCACACTTCAAACTGTTTTGCATGGATTCTCATTCTTTTCAGACGTGTTGTATTCGCTCTCATAGCTATCACATGCGAATATTGTTCTATTGATGAGTTTTTATCATTTACTTCGTCTCAATTTCACTCCACAGTTGGAATGAACTTCTCATTCTGTAGCATATACTATTTACTGGATAGATTACCGAGTGTTGACAGTCGAGACCAACAATACTGCAATCGAATATTATTGCTCAACAATGTTCGACTGTCAAATGACCAATTATAGAGTGTATTTGATAGAATGAGAATTTGACATTGATTATTGACTGATATGAATGAGAAATAAGTAGAAGAGAACACTTTTGGTGATAAAAGCTATGAGAGCGATTGTGACAGCACGGAAAAGAATGAAAACCCTATCAAACCGAACGAAAACCCTGTTAGGTCCCGGAAAAGAATGAAAACCCTATCAAACCGAGTTAAAAAACGCCATCACAATGGCGTTATATCATAAAATGACAGCTACACGAAATACGAAATTGTAAATCAAACATAAAGTTGCAATTAGCTTGGAGAATCGAAAACACTTACGATTATTAAGCAAAATACTTAATAAAAAACGAAAACACTTAATAATCTTCACGAGAGACTCCTAATAAGCAATATTCTTGACGTCCAACTTGTAACTGGAGCTAGTTTCAGCCAACTCGTTCAATTCGACCATGGAAAGGTACGGAAAAGATGAAAACATTCGGTCCATCGTGTTTTCCGCACGACAAAAATGCCCTCACCAGGGATCTGCAATACAGCGAGATCTGTCTATCGTTGAATGTTATGGCACCACTTCGCAAGGTCGATTACTTCATCACGTTTTGCTTTCAACATCATATTTTTGAATGAACTACATCTTCGGAACAATAGTACTATGCTGATATTCAGAAGAGGATAATGGTTATAATCAAGTGATCATTATGATCTAAAAGTGAAATTCGGTCTGCAATTAATTAGTAATCATGAGAACGGCTTCTGACGATAAGATGATAGCTTTGATTTGAGTTGGGCAGTTGAATGCCATAAAGAACATCCCAAACGTTCCAAAGAGTGCATGACGGTGTAATTTAGTGAATGCTTTATGCCTATGTTCACATTCAGCGGAATATATATGTACACAGGATAAATTCATTTTGTACTGGTTGCATATTTCATTTCTTCACTGATCAACTTCCAGTTTGTGTCGAGTAACTCATCGGCAATGCCTCATGCTTCAGAGTGTCGAAGAGGATGGTTATCCGGTCATAGTGTATATTCATGGCGGTGGATTTGAGATTGGAAGTTCAGCAAGTTTTGATTACAAGAATCTTTGCGATACTTTTGTTAGTCGAGGAATTGTCTTCGTTACGTTCAACTATCGTGTTGGATTCCTCGGTAAGTTTCGTTCAATCACTCAACTTATCGCTGTCATACATGCATAACCATTTAACGTCAGCTAATGTCTCAAAAATCACTGATATTTGGCATCCCTTGACAGTATCTTTCAAGACGTTAACTGACGATTAGTCCTTGATAATAACGAGCGACCAGAAAACTTTACAGATGTCCACTGAGAAACCGTTAACTCAGCGACATTTTATTAACAGCAGTATGAATAGTAATAATTGTGATGAAAATGACGAAATTATAAAGTGTTCAGGATTTTTGACAACTGGTGATAATGCGATGCCCGGAAATGCGGGGCTCTGGGATCAAGTTCAGGCACTGACCTATATCAAGGAAAATATCGCTGCGTTCGGTGGTGATCCAGAACGGATCACCATTATGGGTCATAGTGCTGGAGGAGCCAGTGTTGGGGCGTTGTCGTTATCACCACACTCCAACTGTAAGTCTTTTGAAACTTCTCGAGCTTTTGACACTCCATTGGAATGATGTGACAATAACCAGCCTTCTGAACAGACATGCATTCAGTCAATTCCTTTAATCGAAGTTGATTTCCACCAGTTTGTTTCATCGCACCATCTCCCTGGTCAACCTCTCCCTTGATCAATCAGATCTTAACTACAGAAACCTAACTAAGAGAAACAACATTTTCGGGCAGTTTTCGCGTCCATAATTTCCGTCTGTTTACACAACATATCAGATTCCTGAAAGACCAGTGGGCTCACTTAACTACGGTAAGTGGCCACGCCCATAAATTGCGATAATACGCCTACGGTTAGGCCACGCCCACAGATTACGGTAGTATGCCAACAAATTAGGATAGTGCGCCTAAGGTTAGGCCACGCCCACAAATTACAGTAATACTCCCACGGTCTGACCAAGCCCGCTCTCAAAGTTTTTTCCTGATTCACCAATAAAGTTCAAAGCTCGTTAGATATGAATTGTCCGAGGTATTAAGTGAAGAGCATCGCTTCAATTATCAACGACATGAGATCGCATCAAAGGACGTTCACATGAGCATTTAACAAAGGAATTTCCCTTCCACATTAATGAATCTTTTCAGATCTATTCCAGCAAACAATCAGTTTAAGTGGTTCACCGTTTAATGAATTCGCAAGAAGTGAAACTACTGTGGACGATAGCCTTGATTTGATTCGAGCGGTTGGATGCCATAAGGAACATTCTAAACTTTCCAAAGAATGCATGAAACAGAAATCAATCGTTGAATTGTTCAATGGAGTCGATAAAATAGTCAGTTGGATGCCCAGCTTTTTAGATCACTTATCATATACGTATTCAATTACGCTTTCACCTAGTAATTCACTCCTTCTTTAATCATTTACAAGTAAACCGATACAGGTAAAAGGTAATAAGTTGTTCTACAAGCGATTTGATACGTTCACTCATTTCACAGATAATGAGTTTGCAATCGAAAGCATCGTGAACCGCTTCCTTCTATTTAGGGACCGGGACGTGCCATCGAAAGTGGTATCAAATTTCATCCGCATTTCGATGAGAGTTTCTTCCCGAAACCGTTGGAGCAACTTTTAAAAGAAGCACCTCATAAGCCAAGTTTGGTCGGTGTCACGAACTCCGAAGCGGCCATTTATGGTTAATTTCTTTCCTGTTTGATCCGGTCTTTTTTTTGACTATTTCACAACCAATTCTTGAAGTGCACTTTCATGCCATGAAACTTTTTTTTTCGGTCCACTTATCAATATTTTTGCAGTTTTCTTCGAGAGCAAGATCATGTGGCACATGGATATATCACCGTCGAAAGCATCCACATTCTCGGCCAATGATCTCATCGAATATATCAAAGAGAAAATCGCTCCTGAGGAAGAATTTGGCAGTGCAGCTAAGCAGTTTCAACGGCAGTTAATCGAGTTCTTTGTGGAGCGAGACGTTCCCAGCAATGCCGGTCGTGAATTCTACCTGTCGAGAGCCGTCGATGTAAGGAGTGCTCATTCAGGCTGAGTTCTTTGCTCGATAATAGTCTAAAGCCTTAATTTTGTCCAAAATGATCACATTGATAGCAAATTTTATCAGAATGTAATAATGCTTATATTAATAATCTATTATTCATTGATAAATGCTCGCAGAACTTTGAATTTTCCAGAGAGTTTCCTGAACCGAAGTTTTAAACATAACTGATAAGTCGCACTTGCCACAGTTTCATATTAACACCCATTACAATTGATGAGAGTCAGTGAATTTAGCTGGTGAGCGATATAGTCTTCAACATGGGCATATACTACGAAGTGACGTCGAAGGCTGCACAAAAGTGGCCCACCTACTTCTTCGTGCAAGACTATCATCATACTGATCCAAAACTTCCTTATCAAGGTATTCTTCAATCTTCATTCCGCATCCGGCCATTCCAATCTCACTGATTCGAATGATGATATTTTTCTGACTCCGAATAACTTTTCCTAGTCACTAAACTAGAAATATAGGTTTGAGACATTCAAGTTAACCGTCTTCTTAAGTCTGCCCAGTAACATATTAATATTTATAAATCGTTCGATCTAGCACAACCTCGGCTTTCTAAAAATGAAAACCTCACCGGAAAATTCCGCCTCTGCGAGGAGATATAGCTATTTTTCTGATGCTATAG